GGGGGGGCTGGAGAAGTCTCATCCATAGGGTTCCCATGGGTTGAGACCGATGTGAAGGCAGTTAACAACACAACAACAACAAAAGTGTCTCTCTCCTCCTCCCACTTCCACCTTTGTCCTAAGCTTTCTTGAATTACTACAAGTATAAAATAAATTTGCACTCAAGTAATTCACATGGAGAGGAGTGAGATGTGGAATCTTGCCCTTTCCAGTAGACTCAGGCAAAAGCAAACTGTGACGGCCTCTCCTGTCTTGTGTTTTCTTTCTCCTTAATAACTTTTTCAATCTTGACCACACTCTGATGTTGCTTGGCCACATGCATTCTTGTTTTTATCTGTGAAATGTAAGGGAGTATGCATTAGGACCATGATCGTGACCCTTTGACATGGGTGCCAGAGATGGCATGTGAAGCCATTTTCCCCAGCACACAGAGGGCAGGGAGGAGGAGGAAGAGGTGTGTGCCTGTTCCTCCTTCCCCTGCATTGTCCTCAGCGAGGCAGCTGAAGGCCAGGGAGGGTCTGGAAGGAGGAGGAACAGGCACACACCTTTTTCTCCTCTTCCCTGCCCTCTGTGTACTGGGGAAAATGGCCACATGCATTCTTGTTTTCATCTATGAAATGTACGGGAGTATGTATTAGGCCTGTGATGGTGAACCTATGGCATGTGTGCCAGACATGGCATCCGAAGCTATTTTCCCCAGCATGTGGAGGGCAGGGAGGAGGAGAAAGAGGCGCTCACCTCTTTCTCCTCTTTCCAGACCCTCCCTGGCCGGAGGCAGCTGAAGGCTGAGGAAGGCTGAGGACAGCACAAGGGAAGGAGGAACAGACACACACCTCTTTCTCCTCCTCCCTGCCCTCTGCGTACTGGGGAAAATGGCCACATGTGTTCTTGTTTTCATTTGTGAAATGTATGGGAGTATGCATTAGGCCTGTGATGGTGAACCTATGGCATATGTGCCAGAGATGACATGCAAAGCCATTTCCCCCAACATGCAGAAGGCAGGGAGGAGGAGGAAGAGGTGTTCCTCTTCCTTCCAGACCCTCCCCGGCCTTTAGCTGCCTCTCCAGAGGCAGCTGAAGTGCTGAGGACAGCACAGGAGGAGGAGGAGGAAGCGCTCACCTCTTCCTCCTCCTTCCAGACCTTCACTGGCCTTCAGCTGCCTTTCCAGAGGTAACTGAAGGCCTGGGATGGTGTGGGGGGGAGGAGGAAGAGGCATGCACCTGTTCTTCTTCCTCTCCCCTCACCCCCCAGGCCTTCAGTTGTCTCTGGAGAGGCAGCTGAAGGCCTGGGAGGGTGGGAGGAAGAAGATCCACTCTGGAAGTCCTGCCCCCAGGGGCAAAAGTTCTGCCCCCGGAGGGCGGAAGTCCCATCCTCAACACTGGGTAACACCTGGTGCCAGAAGGCCTTTTGGTTTGGGCACTTGGACCCTAAAAGGTTCGCCATCACTGCATTAGGCAAATAATTTCAATGCAAGTCAGTCTAGTAAAGGAAACAGTCATGCTGGAATAACATGACAGTCCTATAATTTAAAGCAATTTGACAGGATAAATCTTCCTGCTTGTGAATTCTTTGTTTTTCTTTTGCTGAAACATCATCTTCAAGGGTTGTTTTCTATAGGACACTGAATCCTCAGACAGTGAAACTGCAGGACTCTTAAGGCATCCACAAGCCATGATCTAGATCTCCCTAGCCAAAGCAAAAAAAATCTGTATGAAACACCAAGTCTTCCTTTTTTCTATTCTTTTCTTTTTTTTTCCTTTTTCCTTTTTTTTCTCTTTCTTTCTTTCTTTCTTTCTTTCTTTCTTTCTTTCTTTCTTTCTTTCTTTCTTTCTTTTTTCTTTTTTTTTTTTTTTTGGTCAATCTATTCCTGATATTCACTGATATCAAAGGATGAACACTATATAATTCCACCTTCACTGAATACCATTGCCTAAATACCCTAAAACCACTGATCCCATCTGATCTTGGAGGCTGAACGGGATCAGCCCTGGTTAATTCCTCAAAGGGAGAGCACCAGGGAATACTAGGTACTGTAGGCTACATCCAGAAAAAAGCTATGACAAACCACTTTTGAGTATTCCTTGCCTAAGAAAATTTTGAAATTCATTGGGTTGCCATAAGTCAACTTGAAGGTACATGCTTTGCATGGAAGATCATTCTGAAGGTATCACTTTGCCCTTTTTAAAAGTCTAAAGTTTTAAAAGTCTAAACGAGGGCACTAAAAAAAAGAATGTAGAAGCAAAACAAGGGCACATGGGTGATAAAGCAAATGAACAAATAGAATTTGAGGAGGATATTGGTCAATACACTATGCTTTGGATCCTGAATAAAGAGACAGGCAGAATAAAAATAATAAATGCATCAGAAGTATGAGAGCCCTGGTGGCGCAGTGGTTGCATGCCTTTCTCAGGAGCCACTTACTCACAAACCACAAAGTTGTGAGTTCAATATCAGCCAGGGGCTCTGGTTCCACTCAGCCTGGCATCCTTCTGAGGTCACTGAAATGAGTACCCAGTTTGTTGGGGGCAATTAGCTTACACTTTGTAAAGCATGTAGTACATCAGAAGCAGTATAGAAATATACTTGCTATTGCTAAGAAGGAAACCAAAGAAAGAGGCTGTTGGATAATATAAGAGTTACAGGATTTTTGGAGACTACCCCACCCCCTAAACAGTCCTCAGTTATTTACATTAGTCTGTACAGTGCAATAAATACCTGCAACCATCCCAATCTATTTTTTGAAGCAGAAGGTATTCAAAGGAACTATGTTAAATACAGCTGATAGGAGATGAGATTCTAATAAAGGAACTTCTTGTTATGTGCCTCCAAGTGGTTTCCAACTGATGGCAACTCTAAGATTATCATGGAGTTTCTTGGCAAGTTTCTCCCAAGGGCGATTGCCATTGCCATCCTCTGAGGCTGAAAGAGTCCTGCAATATATTTGTCTATGTCTATGTATCTAATTAATTATTGAATACAATAAAATATAAATTTATATTCTGCCTTTTTTATTATTATTTATTGAATTGATTTTATTGTTGACTTTGTTTCCATGTTAATTTACTGTTAACAGTCTTCTGAGAAAGGTTGCCCAAAATGAGATTTAAGGATAAATAAATGTGGAAATAAATGTAAACCTGGAAATAAATAGAAGGCATTTTTTTAGCTCACCAGGATTTGATGGCACACTTGACCAGCCTCTGCCCAGTTTTAGGGGATCCTCTTTCTCCATTCAACAGGATCCCCATATTCTTTGCATATCAATTGGGGAGGGGGCTGGAGAGGCTGTTTTGGAGAAGAAGGGGCAGGAAAAACCACTTTCATCAGCCAATCTAGAGTTAATCAGAAGGTGGCATAGTGGTTTGTGTATTGAACTATGACTCCGGAGATCAGGGTTCAAATCCCTGCTGAGAAAGGAAACCCACTGGGTGACCTTAGGAAAGCCATACTCTGAGCCTCAGAGGATGGCAATGGCAAACCCCCTCTGAACAAATCCTACCCCCAAAAAAACATGATAGGTATATCTCAGGGTCTACATAAGTTGGAAATGACTTGAAGGCACACAGTAACAACAATCTCAGTATTGGGAAGGAACAGGGAAAACCCACATCTTAGTATACATAGCAGAGTCTGACAGATTTGATCCAAATTGTGTGATTGATAGAATTCAGACCTCAAAAAACTTGGGTTTTATAAAAAAAAACTTTCATAATCGCCAGCCAGAGAATTCTGGGAGTTTAAAAGGGCGTAATTTTTCCCAGCTCTGAAATATATATGAAATTCTAAATGAAAACTTTTGTTTTTATTTTTGCAGAGAAGCAAAGATACCACCCACCCTGTTCCCTGTTCAGAATTCTTGGTGCCGAAGTCCCAGCTCTGCCACACATCCCCATTATACAATGGAAAGATATTTAGTCCTGGGTAGTGACAGGAGACATGTGTGCAGCCAAAGTAGAACACAACCAGTAAAACCGGGTCCAGATCCTGGTGAGTTAAAGGAGATTTCTGGAGACATTATTCCATTTTTCTTTTTCTTCTTTTTTTTTCTTTTTTAAAAATTTCTGGCAGTAGGTAATATTTGCCATGTGTGACAGGAGTAAAAGATTTCTAGCACAGCCTCCTTTTGCATCAGGCCTGTCAACACTTATTGGTAACACTTCTCTTGTGTTGGTACAAGATGTTTGCTGTTAGGAGTGTCTCTTTCTGGAAAGTTAAAATGAAAGCTGAGGCTTCATCGAGAGAGACCCATTCTGTCAACTGTGTATTGTTGATGAAACAAGTGTGAAGAAACAGTGAGAATATTGCAGACATCATGGGAAGATGCCAGCAAAAGGTTTTGGTATCTATAGGGCTACATTTCATAAGGAACGAGTAAAATTAACAGAATGCATGTCATATTGCTATTTAAGGTTCAAGCTGATGGGTGCACCAGAGAGGGAGATTGATTGGAGCCCTCTCTGAAAACAGCTCTGACAATTGTGTGTGTGTGAATGAATTAGGCAGTGGGAGAAATGAGAGTACTGATCCTTTGCTCTATTTCTTGCATTACTTTTGCCTACAGACACTTCCCTCTGGGTGTATCCACATGACACTGTTACAGGAGTTTGATAAATATGACATGGCTCCAATCTGTGACTTTATATAGCTTGGTGAAATATGTCTCTAGGCCCAGAACTACATCATTAAGGTTTTCTGGAAGAGAATTCTAAGTATTTCCTCAACGTGAGCTCCTCTGCTTCCCTTTTCTCAAGGGGACTCCATTTGTCCAAAAATTAGTATCTCCATTTTGATCTAGTCCCCGTAGTAAGTGATCATCCTCAATGGCAGTTTAGAGGTGTGATCCTTGCACTGCCATTCACCGCCAGAAGTCCCTCTGGCAGAGAATTCTAAGTATTTCCTCAACCTACACATCCAAAGATTCCATAGATTCAAGCCAAGGCAGTTGAAGTGGTAGTGTGGCTACATCCTCAGTTTGGCTTGAAGACAGAAATGAACATAGGTGGGAATAAAACAACCTAGGAGAATAGCTTGTAAGGGAAAGCATCTAAAAGGTTCAGTACTCCTCATCTGCTACTATGCCATTAAATGCTGCCCTCTTTCCTGTGCCATTAACATTTGCATGAGGCTAAACATGTTTTAAGATATGTATTTGTTACTGCCACATCTAGACCAACTTGAAAATAGTCCATTATCTTGAGCTTGAAAATCCCAGATAGATTTCCAAATTTGCATAGCAGGTTTCACTT